TGAGGAGGTCCCTGACAAGTTCGTGACCCTCAAGACGGTCTTCTTACTTGCCATCTCTTCTCTGAAGAGGATTGGTGATATGCAAGCGCTGTCGGTGGCGCCCTCTTGCTTGGACTTCTCACCCGGGATGGTCAAGGCGTTTCTACTACCTTCACCCGGGTATGTCCCCAAGGTCCCAACTAACATCGTTGGGCCTATTGTGCTGCAAGCCTTCTGCCCTCCCCCTTTTTTGACGTCGGACCAGAAGAAGCATAACCTCCTCTGCCCGGTGAGGGCCTTAGACGCCTACGTCCACAGAACTGCCCTGTGGAGGCTGTCCGAACAGTTGTTCGTGTGCTTTGGACCACCCAAGAGAGGGGGTCCTGTGTCTAAGCAGAGGATGAGCAAGTGGGTGGTTGAGGCCATCTCACTTGCTTACGAGTCGGCTAGTCAGCCTTCACCCTTCGCTGTTCGAGCCCACTCGACCAGGAGTATGGCGGCTTCAAAAGCCCTTTTGTCAGGTAAAGTGTCTCTACATGACGTCTGTGTTGCGGCAGGCTGGTCCTCACCGCACACGTTCGTGAGATTTTACCAGCTTGACTTTAGCTCCACACCAGGGGCGCAGGTGCTTTCGTCCGAATGTGCGCTCTGACTTCACATGGCGGACACTTGCTCGTATGGCGAAGTGGGTAGTGGCGTTCCCATAGCGTTTTCACGCAGCTCGAAGTTCCCTGATAGGGAACGTCTCCGGTTACGTATGTAACCTTAGTTCCCCTCAGGGAACGAGACGCTGCGTGTCTGTGCCATACTCCCAGCATGCCCTTGGCACTTGCTTCAGCCCATCAGAAACTGAAGGTGCCGGTAATTAGGGGTGCTTTTATGACTTCCTGGTCGCGACGTCACCCGTCTGTGACGTTCCGTCACGCCATTGGACTGATTACACATGTGCTTCATGACGCACTCACGCAGAGCGTTCCCATAGCGTTTTCACGCAGCGTCTCGTTCCCCTCAGGGAACTAAGGTTACATACGTAACCGGAGACGTTTTCAAACACCGGTGCTCTGGTGTGGTTATAGAGAGAGATGTGTCTCGAGAGCGCCAATTGTGCGCGCAGTGCGCGCATACAGGCTGCACGAAGTCAACAGGCTGATAGGGCGCTCGCAGTGCCCGCATTTACAGGCTGCACGAAGTCTGTCAACTAAATTCTACATTGTGTCTACATTCATGAAGATAATTCCGTTTTTTTTGTAGCGGGTAACGACGAGTCCATTGTTAATGTAGCGGAGTAAAAGTACAGATATATTGTTTTAGAAGTAGCGAAGTAAATGTAAAAGTCGACAGAAATATAAATACTCAAGTAAAGTACAGCTACTCCCAAAAAATACTTAAGTACTGTAACAAAGTATTATTACTTCGTATTACTTCGTTACTTTACACCACTGTATATGTATATGTATATATGTATATATATTATGCGCAAATGAAAGGCTTGTGTTAGTGCAATTGCAATATGATGTTTTTGTGTCTTTTTAGGGGCCAGATGTACTGTTCACTCTTTGTGGTGAAAATAATATTGCTTCTGTATGCCAGGAGACCCAATTACTTCAAACTGTTTTACCACAGCAATGTTTATTAGTTTATATATATTACAAAAATTTCTTTTGGCCGCCTATCTTGGCCAGGACTCCCTGGCAGAAGAGTTATTGTAACTCAATGGGACTTTTTCCTGGTTAAATAAAGGTTAAATAAAAAAATAAATATATATATATAACACATGGTTTCTAGACAACTGTGTCATGTGTCACTGTCAGCTGTTCACATGAAGGAAAGCCCCAGTTTGATGAGGCTCTGTTCAGTAACACTTTTAGAGTCATTAGGCCTGCATAACACCATAGTAACAGCTGTCATGGGGAGATCTTACAAATGTTGCATGCAAGAGCACCGTAAAGGGGTGGAAGTTTAGGACGATTCTAAGGGCCCAGGCTGATTTAGGGCCCAGAAGAGCAGACCCCCTTTTTCTTTTCTTATTTATTTTCTCTTTTTTATACATACATACATTAAATGTGCTAGGGCCCCTCATGCACTAAATGTGTATTTTGTACGTTTTGACCATAGATTTAATATTTAAAAAACAAATAATGTATTTACTGTTTCAGTCACACCCCTCCCCCTCACAATGGTTCATTCCACCTGCGCTGTCGGAGCTACGATCACTATTTGTAGCGTGTAGCGTCTCTTGACTCTTGCTTATTGCACTTGCTATGATGCAGCGCAGACAGTGACACAGGCAGGCATGTCACATCAAAAGTCAGGGCATCAAAAACGGAAAGGAAAGAGAAGACAGAGAACGCCGAAGTCGACAGTATGTCACACAGTTTTTCAAAAAGAAAGGTAGATTGCCCTATTCCTGTATATTCCAAAACTTTCAGAGTTTCTTATTTTTGTTGCTACATGACCTGTTTTTATCTAGCTAGCCTAGCTTAGTAAAATAATTACTGAATTATGATTTACATCCAACAAAAATGGTGTCGTTTAAAAAAATCAACACGAGTGAAGATGGCAGAGAGAAAAGCATAATTTGGTGAACAAAAAGGGCCGAGTAAATTCTGTTGTATGGGAAATGTTTGGATTTGAGCAATCCGACGTGGAGCAGAAACAAGTGATATGCAAGATTTGCTTCACGGTGGTGTCTGCACCAGTAGGTATACCACAAATCTTTTCAACCACCTAAAAATTAACCACAAAGTCACCTATGACAAACTAAAAGTAAAAAACCGAAATGAGAAGAGCAGGGCAGGGCAACAACCTCAACTGCAACACATTCGTCAATAAAAGACGCATTTAATAGCGCTACATTGTATCCGTCTACCTCAGAGAGGCTTAACAAATTAACAGACGTGGTGGCATACTTTCTGTTCAAAGACATGTGCCCCATTACCGAACCATTTTTATTTTATCATGACTGACTGGAATTTGTTAAATTTAGTTTGACAAAATGTTCAATACATGTTTAAGACCTGTCAGTATATTAGAAATATATACAAATATATATTTTGATCTAATTTATTTATGTTTTTTTTATTTGTATTATATTTATTACAACTTTATAAAAGATTGTGAAAGAGCACTGCAACAGTTATTTAATACT